CATTTTTCCAACAGCGTGTTCTCACATCATGTCTCTGTGTCACCTTTTGACGATTCTCAATATATTTCAAGCTTTTTCATTTTTGTTATATATCTTATGGTGATCTGTGATCAGTGATCTTTGATGTTACTATTGCAATTATTTTGGGGTGCCACAAACCATGCCCATAGAAGATGGTGAACTTAATCAATAAATGTTATCTGTGTTTTGACTGCTCTACCGACTGGCTGTCCCTCCATTTCTGTCCCTCTCCTCAGGCCTCCCTACTCTTTGAGACACAACAATATGGAGGAATATTACATAAATTCAGTTGATAAATCAGCAACAGGATTTGAGAGGATTGATTCCAATTCTGAAAGAAGTTCTATTGTGGGTAAAATGCTACCAAATGGCATTGCATGCTCCAGAGAAATCTCTCATGAAAGGAAGAATCCGCTGACGGGACAAACTTTATCATTATCTTATTTTAAGAAATTGCCACAGCCTCCCCAACCTTCAGCAACTGACATCTAGCCATCAATATCACAGCAAGATCCTCCACCAGCAAAAAGATTACAACTCACTGAAGGCTCAGATTATGGCTAACTTTTTTTTTTAGCAATAAAGTATTTTAATCAAGGTATGTACAAGGTATGTATTATTGCACACTTAATAGACTACAATATAGTGTGAATGTAACTTTTATATGCACTGGGAAACCAAAAATTGAATGTGACTTGCTTTATTGTGTTATTCACTTTATTATGGAGGTCTGAAACCACACCCACAATATCTCAGAGGTATGCCTGTACACATTTGTTTCCTCTAGCTTTCCAAAGGAGTACAAATTTTTTTTTCTGTTTATGGACCATGACTGATGTCCTCTCCCATAGAATGCTAAATGGTAGGGTCTGTCTACCAACCCCGAGTTCCATTTTGTTCCTAACTCCAATTCTATCCCAACTCAAGATGCATTAATCACACAGAAGGTATTTCTAGCTGTGAATTGGCCACCTAATTTTTCCATACTGGTGCTGCCCTTCTGTGTGCTTGTTGGTTTTTCTATCTTCAAATACAATTTCATTCTGAAAAACACTATCTACTATGCTTCCTTATTATCAATGAATATCACTGAGAACAGAACTGATGGCAAAGTGATCCTTATGTCAATTCTGTCCTTATATCAGTTGAAATTCTTTCAATTAAGTGCCTTGGAAAGTTGGGGACTGGCTGCTAGACTTTCCAACTAAGAGATTTCTTCAGATTTTTGGATAGACATGAAGAGAAACAGGACACCATTTGCCCCTCCCCCACCAAAGTAATCCAGGTTCTTTATTATAAACCACAGACACTTTTTACCAAAGGTTATTAGCTTTTATAGCACCTGGATTACTCCCTTTACCCTATCCTCTCACATCCAATACATGGGGTAGGTTCCCTAGGAAAGAGCTATCCTAAGTTCAAACTGAATGTTCTGAGTTCACATCTCTAAAAACATAGCTCACAAGCCCCCACTGATGTGTTTACCTTTCATAGTGAGCCAGAGGTGACAATTACTTCAAAGCAAAGGGATTTAATGAAACGGCATGGTAAGAAAGGAAGGAACAAAAGATTTTCCTTATAAATCTAAGACAAGTTCTTCCATAGAAGCATTAAACACTTGTAGAAAGAGTAGGGATAGATAGGAAACAAATGTGAATGAAGCACGCATACAAAGAACGCATGTTGCTAGGTCATCTCTTTCTACAGGCAATTCATGCTTCTCCTTCTGTTGGGCCATTGGTGTCTTGAAGCAGTATCATCATCCTACTTCTACCAGGCCTATTCTCAGCTGGTCTCACAATCTCTATTAGTTGCTGCTTGGTTGGATTCAGTCTCCATCGTCTCCAGCTTCTGGCTCACTAGAAATCCTTGGCTAGCTCTTTTTCAGGGAAGAGTAGAAAATGGCACACTTTTCTAGCTTGAAGACCATCTGATTTCCCCAACTCTTTTAGAAAAGGCAGAAGCCCTTGTACAAGATCATCAAATAAAAATGAAAAAAAAAAAGAAAACAAAAATGAAAATGAAAGCTTCCACTGATATTCTCCTGTCTTGCTCCCTCAGGGTCTTGCATTTGAAGTCTTCAAGCAATTCTTTGTCCCAGATACCAAATTCTTTAGAATAAAGAAGAAGGCTTTCCTAGCTAGCCAATGCCCCAAGATTGGTGTTCAGTAGCTTGGGTCTCACTGGCAGAGGTCACTTTACTTGGTGGTACACATTCCATGTTTAATCTCTGAAGTCTAAACAAGGCAGATAATAAGCATTTGCCCAATAACTACCAAACATCTCTGGGTTGCAGATTCCCTAGTTTTTCAGCCCTAAATTTGTTCCCATGAATGAGTTGGGGAATAAGTTGGGGTAAAAAAAGCACAGAGACAATGGCAAGACCTGAAGGAAAGTTCATTGTCTTTTCCTCTGACCTGATCTTTTCAACCACATAAAGCCTCAGAGGGGTTTAGTGTTATTCCTCTGCATAATCCACTATCCTGGTCTTTAATCATCATTCATTGAATTCTTTGTTATTGTTGTTTTTACCTATTTCCATCTTTCTTTTTAAGGCCTAAGTAGTAAAAAAAAATGGGAGAGAGAAGAGGGAAAGTTTTGTTGGTTCAAAAGAGAAAATAAACATGAAGGAATTATATTGAATAAAGTAGGACCTTCTTCTTTACAGCGATTTCTCTTTAAATCAATTTGGGAAAACAGTGATTACGTATGTGCAGCATTTCCTTGAGTCTAGAACTAGAGAATCTCGTAAAAGGAAAAAAAAAACACCTTTGGAACCACAGAACAGTGATCACGCAATGGAAATAGAACCCTTTGAGGCAATACTGTTCTTCTGTAGACACTTGTGACTTGTATTCAAATATCCATTTGTCCCAGGCTCACATAGTATTAGAGAGGATGCATTGAAGAGCAATTTGGAGAGCTGTCTTTGGACTCAGGAAGATCAAGAACTTCTGATTCCTTAACTCAAAGGTTTAAGAAAGAGCTACTGATCTCCATGGGTGGCAGAAGCTTCCTCACCTAAAGTTTCTTTCTTTTTTTTTTTTCCAGGCAATTGGGGTTAAGTGACTTGCCCAGGGTCACACAGCTAGTCAGTGTCAAATGTTTGGTCTGAGGCCAGATTTAAACTCAGGTCCTCCTGATTTCAGGGCGGGTGCCACCTACCTTCCTCACCTAAAGTTTCTTAAATCAAGAAATGATATATCTGGATCCTCTAAAATCTCCTTTCTTCCCCATCCCCTACCAAGTGCACATAAAATGTCCAAGAAAGCTTTACAAATTTAATCCAGTTGAGAGATCCTTTTTGGAGTGGCATAAAGAGCTTTAGACCTGGTGTCAGGAACACCTGATTTCAAATCCTTAATCAGACATTTACTAGTTGTGGGACATGGACAAAGTGACTTAAACTCTTCCTTCTTCCATTTCTCATCTGAAAACTGGGGATAATAGCAGCAGCTGCTTCACAGGGTTCTTGTGAGGATCAAATGTGATAATGTTTGTTAAGCTCTTTGCAAACCTTAAATTGTCATATAACACTAGCTATTATGATTATTGTTATACATTCTCTCCTTAAGCATCTTCATTCCACCCTCCATGGAAGAAAACTGTCAATCCAAATTCCTAAATCATAGGAATGTTCTGAAGCAGCCTGCACAGTGCCAGGTAAAATAAAAAAATGCATATACATACACAGATACAGAAGAGTACAGGTTGAAGAACACATATAAGTACATATATACATATGTATATGTATATGCATATGTATATTCTTCGATTTTTCCTGCATAAAAAATATACACATATTGGGGGTAGATTGTTGGGCCTGGAGTCAAGAAGACCTAAATTCAAATATAGCCCAAGATACTTACTAGCTGTGTGACCCTGGGCAAGTCACCTAACCTCTGTTTGCTTCTGTTTCCTCATCCATAAAATGGGGATGATAATAGCACCTACCTCCCAAGGTTGTTGTGGGGATCAAATTAGGTAGTATTTATAAGGAGCTTATTATACAGTGCCTGGCACATAGCAACATTATATACATGCTAGCTATTATTATTATCAATTTGAATAAACATCTGTAGATAGAGATGATACATATACACATACATACATACATATATGTATATGTATATGTGTATATACACACTCACATACATTATGTATATAGGACATTTTTCCAACTATCAAAAAGAGATGATGTAGTAAAACATGCTTTTTTAAATCATAGAGAATAATAAGAATATAGATATGGTTAAATAATAATAATAATAATCTCCCACTTACATAGCACCTTACAATGACAATTACTTAATAATCTTGAACTTAATGATCTTAGCTAATAGTCCTGAAATCACAGAACTTGGCTCTGAATTGTAGCCCTGTTACTGACTACCTAAGAGACCATGGGCAAGTCTCTTGACTCTGTGTCTCTCTTTTGGTCTTTTGTCTCTCTCTCACACTCACATGCATAAAATTGGACTGTGCCCTACATTAGAGACTTTTCCAGTACTTATCGATGTGTAGGCTGCATGGTATAATTGATAGAAGGCTGGCAGTCAGGAAGACCCAAAGAGGAATAATGACAGAACCCACTGCTTACAGCATTGGGGCTAAAGATCATTCATGATCATTCTCTCTCTTTGTCTCCTCTTATGAATAGGTCCCTTAAAGCCTTTGAAGTTTCTGCTACAAAGAAATTGTTTTAAATTCCATCATTTTCTTCTAATGAAAACACATCTCCTCCTACCTCTGACTCCTTTGAACACTCAGCCTTGTGTACAAACAGTGGACACAGAGTCTTGCCTGATCACAAACCATCAGTCTAAAGCTAAGAAGGAACCTCAGTGACCACGTAGCTCAGCCTCCTCATTTGAAAGATGAAGAAACTGAAGCCCAAAGTTACTGGACAACTAGAATTCTCTGCTCATTGAAGCTATACCAGAGAAGCAAATAAGAGGTGTGAGAGAAAATCCTCTTACCCTGGCTTTCTTGACTGTAGCAGAGGCTGCACATAGAAAGGAAGAGGAAGGTCCCTTGGAGCAGCTTCATGGCGGTCCCGGGTGTCGGTGCGATGCCCTTGCCCAGCCAGCTAGGGAGTCTTCTGTCCCAGAGAGGCAGGGCCTAATTAGCAAATGGAAAAGGTGTGTAGATGTGTCCAGTCCCAGCCCATTCTGACTTATTCAGGGGTTTTGATAACCAGAGGAAATGCACACAGTCCCTCTGGGAGTTCAGCAGAGAGGAGATTTATTGTTTCAGTCCTTTACAGGAACTCCTTCTCCCCCTTTGGCAGTCGCTTGTGTTTTTGTTAATGCCTTCATTATTTTGTTCTTCTTCAACAAAAAGGCCAGGAAAGGTTTGGAGCAGAAACAACTCTTTCTTTAGAATGGATCCCACGGCTTTCAAACTTTTGTTTTCAAACTATAGTTGGGAGTAGTTCGAAAGGGGGATGCTTAGGAATTGAGAATCAATTTGGATGATGAGGCTTTTGTCAAATTTTTGCCATGACTCCTTTGCTCCTCTTTTCCCCTTCTGACTTAGGAGGGAGAGCCATGCCATAGAACTGAACAGGAAAACAGCTTTTTGTAGGCAAAATGAAGATGTATGGAACAGCAGAAAGATACGCGTATTGGGAGTTAGAAGACTCAGGTTCAAATTTCATTTCTGAAACTTATCTGTGTAACTTTGAGCAAATTACTTTACCTTCCTATGCCTCAGTTCACCCGGATGTAAAATGAGGGGATTGAACCAAGTGGTCTCTATGATCCCTTCTTAGCTCCAAATCTATGCTGCTATGATACTACATTTAGGATTTGGAGAAAAGATCAAAAGCTAATTACAAAAGAATACCCAACTATTTTAAACTGAATTGGGCAAAGAAACTGAAACATAAATGACCAGTGTTCATTACTCCTTCTTCAGAGACTTCATTACAGAATGAAAAAGGAAGAGAGAAAATTCCTTCAGAAGAGGCGGCAGAGTCATGCTGGTAGATATTTATAACCAGCTTTCTGAGAGGGGAGGGGACATTTTAAAAGTTTAATTGCATTATTAATATTTCCCACTCTCTTAAGTCTAGACAATCACAGAATAATACATCAAGCCCTTATTTGCTAATTCTTAAGGTATAAATACTCACAGTGAAAATGTCACAATTAACTCATGAGAAAGGTGGTTTGAGCTGGCTCCAGAACACACCTGGAAGAGGGGTTCTTAACATTTTTTGTGTCATGGATCCCTTCGGCAGTCTGGGGAAGCCTATAGATTCCATCTAGTAATCATGTTTTTAAATGCTTAAAACAAAATTCTTAGGATTACAGAGAAAACCAATTATAATAAAATAGTTATTGGAGTATTTTTTAAAAAGCACATGGATCCTTTCTCTGGAAGTTCTAAAGGACACATAGTGAAGAGAACACAGATTCAGAGCTAGGAAGGATTCTAGAAGCCATCTAGTCTAAATCGCTCATTTTTATAGATGATTGGAAACCTAAGCTCTGAGGGTAAGAGGGATATGAACCTATGTCCTCTGACTATAAATCTCATTGTATCAAACAGGGCATGCAGAATTTAGACTGACTCCATCATATCTGAAGAAACTGAGATATGTAAAGATAATGTAGAGAAATGTTAGGCAAGATCAAGTGACCACATGGCATTGTCTCAGAGATGCCAATATTCTACATGATGCCTAGGATGGTTGGTTAAAGAACATGGAGCTAAAGCATGCATTATCATGGTTCCTGGGCTCAAGCAGCATTTGAACCCACCACTTTTGCTCTGGTCCATGATCACATGCAGAATCCCTAATCTCAGTTAGTCAGACTTTGCTTGTCTGACATTAGTTAGATATTTAAGGGAATTTAGCTGAGAGCATGGGTGGAACAGAACACATACATCACCCCCTTGGAAAACAAATTCCAAATAGGGACAGCTAGTGGCATGGTGGATAGAGTGGTGAACCAGGAGTCAGAAAGACTTGAGTTCTAATTCTGCCTCATACATTTACTAGCTGTGTGACCATAAGTAAATCACTTAACCTCTGCCTCAGTTTCTTCATCTATAAAATGGGAATAATAATAATAATACCTTCTACCATACAAGTTGTTGTGAAGACTAAATGAGATAGTATTTGTACAGTGCTTAGCATGGGGCATGGCACATCATATGTACTATATAAATGTTAGAAAACATATAGAAAAGAGCCATTGTCTTTATGCATCCAGGCCTCATAAGATTTCTGTTCCATCTTGGGTGACAACGGAAGGTTACAGATGCTAGGAGAATCATAAAATTCCTGAATGATGTAAACTTATTTCTACCAGACCACTGTTATGGGAAGTTCTTTCTCTTCTCTTCTCTTCTCTTCTCTTCTCTTCTCTTCTCTTCTCTTCTCTTCTCTTCTCTTCTCTTCTCTTCTCTTCTCTTCTCTTCTCTTCTCTTCTCTTCTCTTCTCTTCTCTTCTCTTCTCTTTTCTCTTCTCTTCTCTTCTCTTCTTTTTTTTTAAAATTTTTTAAAAATTTTTAATTTTTTTTTGTATGAGCACGAATTATATTGTGTCTTTATTTGGCATATCCTGGTAAGTATAAAGATAGCAATGTATATGAATAGATGTCAGGGCCAATTTCCAGAAATAAGTTGGGGTGTGGCTGTGCAGAATCATACGGCTGCAGCTGGACAGAATGCAAGGCTCCTAACAGCCTCACTTCCTGACACTGGCTAGTCTGGAACACTCCTATTGTCAGCAAACAGAGCTGATAGGGGCATACAGATAGATTTCAGGATGCAATGAATCTTTCTTCTCAGTGGGACCTTCCTCTGCAAGACAGGCTTAGGACCTCCTCCCAAGACAAGAAGACCCGGGTTTGAGTTTTGACTTGAACACTAGCCTTTCAAACATAAAAGAAACAGAACATTAGTTTCTTCATTGATCAATTTAGGACAATTTTTACTATTTGCCTCATAGGGTTGTATGAGGGTCAAATACAATATTGTATATAAAGTACTTTGCAATCCTTAAATGTTATAGAAATATCCATTATTATTGTTATTATGAAATAATATATTATTTTAAAAGGTGTGAGGTTCCAAGTGTGCAGTACTCTGTGTGGGGCCAATTTCCCCATTTACACTTATAGGTTGGGGCCTCCAGAGGGATGCTATTACTATCTCAGGAGGGTTATCTAGTACTTTCAGTCAGGATTCCCCATCAGTGTGCTTCTCACTAACAATCAGCCAGAGAGCCTCAATGAGATTTTAGCAAAGATGTTTTACTAAGTTGTGGTAAAGCAATGTCCTCTCCGAAAACCTTGGGACACATTATTCCACTAATATACACAGCAACCATAGTGAGAATGAGTTAAAATGCAATAGGGAACACGAATGTCAAAAGATTATCTCCAAATTCCTGACCTTCAAATTCCTTGTCTCTGTATCAAATCTTCATGAAGTTCCCCTTAAGCATAGTTTTTTGATGGAGTCACTTCTAGAATTCATAGCCTATACTGTTTTTCACCTCAAGGTTCATCAGAACTAGTTTTTCAGCTGGATATTAGGTGCCCCTCCTGTTCTATTGCTCTACTTTACTCTTTGGGGTTTAATTCCAAACAGTTTTGATAATAACCACTTTGAGATACATTTTGAAGTTTGGAAGTACAAGATTCCTTTCATCATTTTTTTTTTCAATTTGACTCAACATTCATATGTTTTCATCTAAATTTCCTTAGGATTTTGTCTAGTCCTACAAAAAATGTGTGTTTGAATTTTTATTGGTATCATATCAAATGTATATGTTAATTTGAGAAATATTAGGGCAACACATTATAATATTTAAATCTCACAAAACTCCAAAATATTGAATGCCCCTCCAGTTCTTTAGGTCCTTCTTAATTTCAACTGTCATAATTTTAGAGTCAACTTTCTAAACCTCCTATGTCTTTTTAGGTAAGTTAATTCCCAAATATCTGATTTTTTTCTGTTATTGAAAGTGTTATTTTTTGTTAGATTTTCTTGGTTTTATTACTAGTAAATCAGAATGCAATTTGTGTCTTGATGTTATATCTTGTGATTTTTCTGAACTCATCTATTGTTTCTATTCATTTGGGGCTAAGTAGGCTAAATTTTAAAATTATATTTGTACTTTTTTAATATCTTAAACTCATTCAGTCCATTAGAATGCAACCTTGAGAGGAGGCAGAACCATCTTGTTTTTGGATTTGTAACCCCATTCCTCAGCACAGTGCTTTGCACATCTTTGCTGTTCAGTCCTTCAGTTGTGTCTGACTTCATGACTGTGTGTACCATAAAAAGCCAATGGTGTCTATGGGGCTTTCTTAGCAAAGATACTGGAGTGGTTTGCCATTTCCTCCTCCAGTGGATTAAGGAAAACAGAGGTTAAATAACTTACCCAGGGTCATTAGTAAGTGTCTGGCTAGATTTGAACTGAGGTATTCCTGACTTTAGGTGCAGTGCTTTACCCACTGAGTCACCTAGCTGCCTCCATTTTGCACACAGTAGGTACTTGATAAATACTTCATTCACTCATTCAAATTCAACTTGTCCAAAACTAAATTCATTATCTTCCTACCTTCTCCATTACTATTCAAGGCACCACCATCTTCTCAGTTACATAGGGTCAGAACATAGATGTCATCTTCATATCTTCACTCTTTCTCACCCTAACTGCTACCTAATTTCTTGCTAAATCCTGTCAATTCTGCCTTAGCAACATCTCTCATATATGCCCCCTCTCCCTTCTGATACTTACTGATGCTTCTCATCACCTCCTGCCTAGACTATTGTAATAATTTTCTAGTTGATTTCTATGCATCATCTCTCTCCACTCCAGTCCATTCTCCACTCAGCTATCAAAGAGATTTTCTCAAGGTGCAGGTCTGACCATGTCACCCTCCTATTCAATGAACTTTAGTCCTTTTTTTTTTTATTACCTTCAGCATCAAATATAAAATAATATGACTTGCATTCTTATAATTTTGATTTTTTTTCTTATCTATTTGAGAAATGAGCCTTTTTTTCAGAGAAATTTAATGTAAATTTTTACCTTATTCTTCCCCCCCCCCCCAGTTTCCTTCTAATCCTGGCTGCATTGGTTTTGTTTGTACAAAAACTTTTCTTTTTAAATTTGTTGTAATACAAATCATCCATTTGACATCTTACAATGCA